TTTGTCCGTTGTGACACGGGGGCCCCTTAAGAGGTGGTGTGCTCTAAAACGCCAAGACTCCCCCGCCCACCGTGTGGGGCGAGGGAATTCTGGGAGTTGAAGTCCACTCATCTTAAAATGGCCAAGTTTGGACAACACTGCTATAAGTGTAATGTATTCCACTTTCTCTGTCAGGGTTAAAATTAAACACCTGATTAAACTGATAACGTTTTTTCTCACACGAGACATACAGAGTGGCAGAGAGGGGATGGAAGCGTGTTTGCTCAAGGGGCATAACCGAATGAGCAGCTTCTTGGGCTTTGGCACTTGCTCTGAGAAAGGAAAGCTTCTCCTAAGAAATTGGGGCGCTCATCTGCCTCTCTGTGCTGGACACACTTGAGTGTGGTTTTGGGACAAATGCTGCCAGTCAGAAGTTTTGTTTCTGAGCCTCGTCTCCAGGCAGTGCAGGGTTTGGGCAGTGAATCTTTTGCCCTGGTTTCCCTTTGGTCAGACAAAGGAGCCCTTCAAGCATCACCCGCCCTAATCTAGAATTCTGAAGATCACAACTCAGCCAGCCAGCCAGCACCTCCTCTTGGACTGCTCCCGTTCTTGCCAGTGAGAATAGCTGAATAAGACAGGGAGTCTCTCCCTAGGACAGTGTTTCTTAACCTTGGCAATTTACTTACTTATTTATTTATATTTCAAATTTAGTCATGCTGGCTGGGGAATTCTGGGAGTTGAAGTCCATGCATCTTAAAATTGCCAAGGTTGAGAAACACTGCTCTAGGATTTGCTCAGGGCAAGAGTGAGTAATCTTCTGGTGGCCGTGGATTGTGCTTCATATTTGGAGGAGATCGAGGGACTGGAAGATTCTCTGCTACAGATTTGCAGCAGTTATAGTTGGAAGAATTTCAAAAAAGGTAGGATAATGAGTCTGATTAGCTTTGATCAATAATTTAGTGTCTTCCTAATTGGAGTAACCAAGGAAGAGGACAGGTTTGCTTGTTGTGGTTTTTTAAGGCATCAAAAAGCTTCATTTATTTCATCTGGAAGTATTCACCAGGAATTGTCTTGGAATGATGGGGGTTGTAGTTTCACACATCAGGAGAGGACCAGTTAGGAAGAGCTGCTTCACAAGATAGGATTTTTGGACAGCAGAAAAAGCACCATCTCTCTCTCTCCATTCCAAAAAGTATTTACAGAAGAAAGCTAAACTCTGCCTTTTCAAAGTTCTGCTAATCAATCCTGTTTAAAGGCTTGTCAGCATCTTAGTGTTGTACAGAACACAGATGTTGATGGGATCTCAAGAGCCACCTGGAATGGTGGGAATGATTGAGTTGCATCAGGTGGTTATGTTTACATTGAGGAATTATTGTTGCTTGGGGGGGGGGGGTTATTTTTGGACTATCTGAATCCTGATGCTGTAAAATGGAGTATAAGCTGCCCAGAGATGGTTTCAGTTGGAACTCTGCATAAACCCTGGTAAGTAAATACAAATAAATAAATGTGCAGGCTAATGAAAGATTGATTATGTGACCAAAAAGGCAAGACAGAATGAGAGGCTGGCCACATGCAAGATGGAATGGCTAAGGGCAGTATAATTGACAGTGGTGTTAGCCGAGGAGCAGAAGACCCAGCATCAAGCACCCCACAGCTGGGCAAGACCGAGGAATTAAGAACAACACAGATTTCAGTAACATATCTTTAATGCCTGTTTGGGGAAAATACAGAACCTTGGAAACTGTAAGAAGAATTTCCCAGCCGCCTTTACAGTGAGTTAAATAAGATGGAGTCTCTTTGAAGGAGTTGAAATGCTTCTTCCCCGGTTTTTGGCCACCTGGGCTGAGTGGCCATTCAAGAGATGAGCTGCAAACTGACTCGCTTCCTATCTCTGGATGGTTTAAGGCTCCTTCCCCTTTTGCTCCTCTCCCAGCCTCTCCATAACCTTGTGCCACTGAAGGAAAGGCAGGACAGAGCTCAAATCGGTCAGTAAAGATGCCTTTCTTTTTCTCTCTCCTAGACATGTCAAGTGTGTCAGATGCTGTTGCCGAACAAATGCAGTTACTGCGCTCATCAAAGAATCCATGCTCATAAATCCCCCTATTGCTGCCCCGAGTGCGGGGCCATTTGCCGGTCGGCCTATTTCCAAACCCACGTCAAAGAGAATTGCCTGCATTACTCCCGTAAAGTCGGTTACAGGTCAGTGCTAAGTCTGAGGAACCTGGGAAAAAGCGATATGCTATTTAATACATCTGAAAGAGCAAGTGAGGGAGAACAACATCCGTTCTCCCTCCTCCTGGAGCTGCTTTGTCATCAACTTGCTTTGCCCTAAGACCACGTGAACATTTCCACACAACAAAAGCCACTCAACAGGGCTTTTACTGACCCTTTGGAAATGCACGTTCTGGGCCAAGTTGCAAGGAAGTCGGCTAAAAAAAAAAAAATTGCAAATGACTGGGCTTCTAGGCAGATTGCAGTAGTCTCGCCTAAGGATGCATTGCTGTTTTTTAGGGGAGAAGTGATACTGACCATCTTTATTTTTTTTATCTGGCCACAAGTAGAAGAAACTTCAGAGTAGTCTATAACAGGTGATTTTGCCAGTCTTAACACCTGTTAAAAGGGACTTTTGTATATATGTGTCGTCGGCTCACTCTCTCAGAAGCCTGAAGCTCGCAATGAGTTAACAGTGTCTCACAATTACTCATCTGTAGCAACTGCAAATTGAGGTTCTTTCTTAACTTGGACTAATACTTTCACTGGCTGCTGTTGGCCCCAGAGAGCTGGTATGGTGGGATGAATCTCATTTTTTTATTCCCTCTTACTCCAGCTGGCCATATCTCAACCTCTAACTTCTAGCCAATATCCCTTTCTGCAGCCACCTATCTAGGTTGATATCCTACAACCATGAAGGTTCATGGTTTCTACCAGGTCGCCGGCTGATGATTCAGTAAAGCAAACCTGGGCCTGTTCCCATTTCCTGACTATAGAAATGATGCTGACAGATTTGTGGCTGCAGGCTGAGTTTTTCCTCTTGTTCTCCCCAGGTGCAGCCATTGTGGGGTGGTTTTCATGTCACAAGCTATGCTGAAAGTCCACATTCACGAGAAGCACTGTGAAGTCTTCCACAAGTGTTCATTCTGCCCCATGGCCTTCAAGTCTGCAGACAGCACCACTGCTCACATCACCAGCCAGCATCCTGCAGAGCCTCACAAGACATCTCAGTAAGTGATCTGTTTGGGTCCATGGGCTGGTTTTGCACCATTACAGTTCTGGAGTTTCTTTTCATTTCCTACTCCACCTCCTCCATCTGGTTCTTTGACAAAGGCTGCCCCCCAACTGACCCATGTTTCCAGGAGTCTCTCAGGCCCACGTGTACATGGGAGATCTTGATTTCAGTTTTGTGAAACATGAGTAATAGGATCTGCAGGGTTTTTTTTCCTTTGGGAACTGGGAGGTTATGTTACAGTCCTGTTTGCTAATTATTTTCATTCTTAGTTGGGCTGCCCATCTCTTCCTGAGACTGCCTTTATGTTTGCACATAATCCAGGAGTAGTTTACTATAATCAGTGTGTTACCCTCAATGTTCTGCGTGCTAAGTGCCAGCTTCTGCTGCCTGAGCTAGGAGATCTGATCCCATTGGTCTCTTCCAAAAAGGAGATGCATTTCCTCTTTGTCCCCACTCCTGCTACTAAACAGCTTTGTTAATTCAGGTTTAGGAAATGTGTAGTCCACCAAATGATGAATGGCAATTTCCACCATTGTTTTTGCTAGCTAGACCTGATGGGAGTTGAGCAGTATCTTGCAGTCCAGACACTGCCTGCCCCTCTTGCAACTTAGATACCAGAGGTGCAGAAGTAAAAACTGGAAGCAGAAGTCATGGTCCAGGGTGGTTTAAAACAGATGAACGGCTTCCATAAGCAATCGGCAGTTGTGTTCATCCTCCCTACTGCTGGGGTGAGATAGAGTCATTGCATCTCCTTTTGCAAGGGCTCCGATGTGATTCATTCAGGACAGGGTTGACACACACCTCTGTTCATAGGGCCCTTGAGTCCAATATTATTGTTGTTGTTATTATTAATTTAAATGTATTGGCTGCCCAACTCCAGTGGACTCTGAAATATGTGTATTCCCAAGACATTTTGCTTTTCTTGATTCATGCCTTCATGAAGGAGCAAGTTCTCCTTTTCCACATCCAACTGTTTGTTCCAGGGTGATCTACAAATGCTCTTGTGAGACCGTCTTTAACAAGAAGAGGCTTCTGCAGGAGCACTTCCAGCAAAATGCCAACAGGCTGATGGTGGGCGTGTTCAAGTGCCCCCACTGTCAACTGGTGTATATGCAGAAGCTGCAGTTAATGCAACACGTCAAGGTTGGTAGCTCAGGGCGGTTCCCTCACTTCTGCAAACCCTGCCCTGCCTTCCACATATTCGGCTTATCCCATAAAACACTTTTGCTGCCTTTTATTTTCCCATCTCTGATGGACATTCTCTCATTCATCAGGCTTTCTACATATTTGGCTCTAAAATTTAGGTTGCTTAACTGTAATTTAATTGTAAACCATAATCGACTGGATCTACAGGACAAGCTAAGCCTATAAATTGCAGAGCACAGTGGCTGGGTTCGCACAGCCTGCAAGTCCAGACCAGAGGCGTTAGAACTTAGCACAATGTGTGAACCAGGAGAGTGTCCTAAAATCACCTTATTTGTTTATTTGGTACCTCTATTTATTTACATGAATTATTACATTCCATCACAATTCCAAAGGACTCTCGGCACTTCCTGGAATATCCAATAACAATGAAAACGTCCACGGTTGGTTTAAAATGAAGAGCATGTAAAACATAGTCAAGCCCAGCAACCAGCAGTTTATAAACCTCACTCAAAATAATGTCACACCCCAAATGCCCTCCAGAAGAGCTCTGTTTTCAGGTGCTCCTGGAAAGCAGTTCAAGGGGATCCAATCCTAAGTACAACTGGGAGGCCATTCCAAAGGGCTGGTGCTGCCACCAAGGAGCAGCAGCTCCAAGCTTGGCTTCCTCTGCCTCCCAAAAGAGGGGAATCACCAGCAGCTTTTCCCAGCAGATTCAGGCTGAATGCGGTCCTGAAGGTAAATTTAGAGAAAGTGCACGGAACAACTCACCCAGCAATGAATTGCTGAGGATGTCAGTAACTTCTTTACTTCTAGATCTATGATCTAGGTCAGGTTGCTAACCTGAGCTGAGCGTTATGATCGTATTATGTATATATTGTGCCAAGTGTACTGATTTCCAGTCCGTTTCTGGACCCAGTTCAAAGTTCTGAATGACCTTCTAGATCCAGACCTTCACGAATGCAGAGAACAGAGATGCATTTCAAACCTGTATTAAAACCATTTAACTTTTTGTCTCTTTGAATTGGTTCAGACCGGAAATGAGCTGGGTGCAGCTTTTCCAAATTCTATGCCTGGGATAAGGCAAATATCAGCAAGGGGGCTTGAACAAATGTGTCTGAATATTCTGTTTTCCATGGCACTGCACAACGTAATTCACCATTGCCTGTTTTGATCTAACCATGGTATGGAGTTACAGCTAGACTAGCAGATTACAGCTAAGGAAGCTCTTCAAACAAGATGGCAAATTGTTTGGGTAGTGGCGATGGAAGGGAATGTTTTGGACTTTCCCCTGTGTTTTTTTAAAAAACCTACAACAAATGGCATCTGAATAATGATATCTTGGGGCTATTTCATGAGAAAATGTGGATTATCTCCCTGCTCTGGCCTTTCAGTGTGGAGCTGAGCTTGATTCCTTGACTTTCACTAGAGCACCCACGGAGTCCCTGAAAATCCCGAGGACTTCACCAGTGCTCGGCAGAAGGTCGAGGCGACCACAAGCGGTCCCGTCCTCCCAACGTCCAAGGAGCTGTCCATCATCAACGGTACTTCTCAGTCGACCTCTTTGCCCACGAAAGGCACGAGCCCAGAATCCAAGCCAAAGTCCAGAACTTGCAGTTGGACTTGCCGGGAGTGTTCGCAGTGGATCCCCGACCGTGAAACTTATGTGTCCCACATGAGAAAAAGCCATGGAAAGGTAACAGCCCGCATCTGGATCCTCTTCCCATCATTTCATATCACTGCAGCTCTTCTTCCACTTCCTAGCAATGCTGGGGAAGTAGGAGTGAAAGGAAGACGCCTGCTTTTGTTCCTCCCCTTCCTCCTGTCCTAGTCATGGGGTGGGAAGCAGTAGAACCACACTGTCCCTTTCTCTCATCAAGAGGCCCTCTGCACAAACAAGACCCCTATTTATGCAGAGCAAAGTCTGGCCGCTACCCTTCCGACCACTATTTTGCCCAAATTGAAATAAAATGAAGAGACGGTTCCCTGTTCTTTCGGCACTAACTCTTCCGGTCCTCTTGCGCAGAACATGAAGAGATTTCCTTGCCGGCAGTGTGAGCGGTCGTTCAGTGCCTCCAACAGTCTGCACAGACACGTTCGCAATAATCACGACACAGCAAAGAAAGTGTACCCTTGTTGGTGAGTCTGAGAGGGGGAAATGGGTCCTGCACGGTCCGGAGCACGGCGTCACAGGGTCATATCTGCTCCTGCCTGTTAGATGGCGGGTTCGTGCGCTAGTTGTGTTAGATCGTGTTAGTTTCCAGGAGATCCTGTGATAAGAGTAGGGGATTTTCATAATAATAGACGCGCTCTAGCTATCTCTGGAGGAGCTGTTGCGAGTTCAGTGTGTGCTCTCCCTGTTTAAATGAGTTAATTTCAAAACCTGTTGCAAGGGAAGAGTTTGCAGTTCTAGCCAGGACGGTCTTTTCCAGGGCAGTTCAGTAGGAGGTGACAGGGAATATCCACAAGAGAGAAGGAGAGGTTGATCCTTAAGGGAATATGGCCATCCGACAGAAACTTGCCCATCCTGGATTTAAAGTTAAGCATTCTTTCTGCGGCCAGGGGCTGCATTTTTCTTTTCTTTTCAAAGGATTATTTTCTTTCCAAAGCTTGCAGGTGGCCTGTCCAGTGATACTGGAGCAGGTGGAACTGAAGTTGCAGGGAGTGGTGATTTGGAGACAATTTAAGGGACAGAACAGATGCGTAAGCCTCACCCAAGGCCCCCGTTGTTTGGGGAAACTGAAGAACTGGGCCGCTGACAGCTGCAATCCGGAGTGTTTGGGCGGAGGCCGAGGGCAGCCAATGGAATGCAGGTGGCCCATCAGCAATGTAGTGTTGGTAGAGGAAGTCTGGCGTAGCAGCCAGGATGTTTGTCTAGGTTAATCTGAGATACAGTGAACTAAACACTTTTACGTTCTGCTCTGAAATCTTTGGAGAAAAGATAAACTACCCACCAGACAACCAGATAAACTCAGTTCTCGTAGGTCCAGCTGAACTATTCAAACCAGTATTCAGGATAAGAGAGGCTTTCCATTTCGGATTACAAGTTCTAGATCCTTGCTTAAACGCTCTGTTTTTGAGCTTCCCAGAAGGCATCTACCTGAGTCGTGCTAGAGAGTGGCTTTGTTAATTTTCTGTTGTTTTTGCCTTCAGGTTATGTTTCAGATTTAAGCACTCTTGGTTTCAGAATAAAATAGCGACACAAGGGCTGCATCTTTCCGTTCTAATTAATCTCCAGGAAAGCAGATTTCCAGGAAGCAGATGGAACTTCAATTCATGGCTTGTTTTTAATATTTCATTAAAATATATTGTTTAGTATGTCTTAGTTACCCAACAGAAAACAGCTCCTCTAATTTAGGGTGTTTTCTGGCAATTATTCCTGTATACTACAAATAGTTCTTTCCCCGGTAAAAGCTGCTTTCCATCACTGATTCCATTTTGTGGTTTTAGTGGTCCCTTAATTTATCCATTTGAACAAGAAATAATACTTACTGAAGCCAGTCTTAGAAAACCCATGTTGGCTACAGAAGATTCCAGTTTGGGGAAGGCTGTTCCACATCAAACAGTCCCTGCCCGCATCTGTTCCTTTGTATCTCTGTATATTTCCTTACTTTTCTAACTGCTAGTTTGATTTCATTCATGTTTCTCCATCTGGCCAATGGGGATTCTTACTTTGTGGGGCTAAGATTACAACCAGGAATACTAAGGCATTATTTTAAACCTCCTTCACTGACAACAGACTAACCCAGAAAACAGTGCAAGATTATGTCTGTGGGAGCTCTTTCAAAATGAGAACATTTGAGCTAGAATGGGGACAGGTTAGTGTTCATCCCTACTATTCTTCCTGTAGAAAGCATTTTAAGGAGAAGAAAAAAAGTGTTACTTTAATTGAAGTACAGATGTTGGGCAAGGAGACAGGGGAATTCGGAGTGTTACTTTAATTGGTGCATGTGAACAGAAAAATGTAGCATGTATCTGTTGAGCTAATCTTGTGATTTTAAATGCCTCCTCTCTGTGGCCTCCTGCATTCCTGCCACATGCTAGCGAATGTGAAATTGCAGTTCCCACCGAGATCCCAGACAAAACGTTAGTCTCCCATGGCAAACCTTTGCTTTCCCTCTGGAAAAGAAGCCGTTCTTATCACCTCTGAAGGATGACCCAAGGTCACCTTTGGCATCCCTGGAATTCAAAGCTAGCTTCCAAACTACTTGTGGTAGAATCTTTGTCTCTGTATGTAGCTCTTAGAAGCAGGTCTTGCTTATGGAAACTTTTGCTGTGAAATCACGTCATTTGTGGTTGAAGAGTTTCTCACAAACCAAACTTAGCTCACAAGTTCATCAGTTGAGAAAATTGCATGGATGTCCTTCAAGGATATATTCAGAAGGTTCAGCATAGACGCAAAATCATGGTCCACAAGTTGGCCTAAGTCAGTGTTGGTCCACACTGGTCCACAAGTTGGCCTAACTCAGCCATGCTGGCTGGGGAATTCTGAGAGTTGACCCCAGAATTGGGGTCTGAAGTCCACTCATCTTAAAGTGGCCAAGTTTGGACAACACTGGCCTAAGTCTAAGAAGACAGTCATGATGGAACTTTAGAGAGAGAGGTTAAAATATAATTGCACTTATAACTACTGTGAAGAATATCGGAAGCTACTTTTTTATATCTTTGTATCTTTCTTTATATCTTTCCCTTTTTTTCCTACTTCCTTTTCTAATTGCACTTTTAGCTTTTTCTGTTATTTTTCTCTTTCTTTTTTTCCTGTTCTAATTTAGTTTGTATTCATTTGTATTATTGCCTTTAAAACTTTTCATAAAAAATTACACACACACACACACACACCCTACATACCTATAAAGAAATCCAGTTGTGTTGATGGCATTTCTTTTGTCTTGTATTTTGAAGGTACTGCACAGATGAAATTCAGACCTTTCCTCAGCCATCGATGCTGGAGAGTCACATGAGCCTCATGCACGGCATCAAAAATCCAGATCTTTCCCAGATATCCAAAGACTTGACAAAAGTAATCTGCAATGCTTTACTTAAGATGTGGAGGTGGGGTAGCTAATGTTCTCTCTCTTTGGTTTATCATCCCATTTGGGATCTGCTTTCCAAGCGTTGCCCTCCGGTTCTCTTTCCGGGAGGAGCAAATAGGTCCTTTAAATAAGATGCAGAGCTATATCTCGTGGGCTCTACAGACAGTGCCAGCCCTACCAAAAGATATTTCTTGTAATGAAAACTCGCCCATTTCCGCAATCATCTGCGTGTAATTTAACAATTACAAAAATTGTTATTTTAGCCTTACAAAATCCCTTAATGGTAAATACTAAGGTATTTGATTCTAGGCGAACCCACAGTGCACTAAAGACTTTTACGTCTCAAGTAGGGCTGCCTGAAACCACCTTGTAGTTTAACAAGACCAGCATGGAGGAGGCAGCTTTATTTCAGGACAATCTGTGTTAGGTCTTTCTTAATTAAATGAAAATCCTAGGCTCTGATATTGACAAGTGACAAGAGAGTGAGGCCTGAAGAAACCAGATTAATTTTTGACAGCAGAGTCATTAAGGAGAAAATGACCGGACAGATTGGAAGACAAGCTTAATGGCTTCTGTGCACTATAAAATAGGGAATTATAGCCTTGGGAATCATAGACCTAAACAGGTAGCCCTTAAGGCACTCAACTGCATTTGACTTTGGTTATCTTCCTGGGAAAGTGCTGGAGACAAGAGTTTGATTAATTATATCTAAGTTCCCTCCCAAAATGTCGCTCCATTCCAGTTGCTGTCCTCAGAATTGAGAAAACTGGTGAAGGTGTTTTCCGTTCAACAGTAGTGCAAATAGAGGTCAATCCAAATAGGGGGGTCTGCTGTACCCACGACAAAGGGCACCCTTTTTTATTGTCTTCTCCTCACTACAGCATCACCTTTGGATGAATACATTTCAGGCTAAATACATCCATTGACCAAGCAGAGACTGGGGTAACCAGAGAGCCTGTAATTCCACTCATTACTCATAATAGCTTGAGGTGCCATGGACAGCTTGGTAGTGGGGTGCAAGGAAGAAGAGATGGGTCTCTCTTGCTCTTAGTAGGCATCGTTTTGATGGCGGCCTACAGACTGCATTGCAGATTGTTACAGTGAGCATATGGGTTTGTTTTGCAGACAAAAACTCCAAAGAGAGTAACCGCAGATGGTCTGAGTCAGGTGGAAGCTACCGCATCAGGATCAGATGACCCGCCAGCAAAGAAATTGAAGGCAGCCCGCTGGAAATGTGCCAAGTGTGGTTTTGCTACAGCCACAGAGACTGACTTTCTGGAACACATACCTCGACACAAGTCAGACAGTTCCACATACCAGTGCCTGCTCTGCGGTTTGTGTTATACGTCCCACCTCTCTCTGAACAGGCACCTCTTTATTGTTCATAAAGTAAAAGATCCGGAAGAAGAAGAGGAGGAGGAGGAAGAGGAGGAGGAGGAAGAGGAGGAGGAGGAGCAAGAACAAGAGGGTGGAAACGAGGTTCCAGAAATAGAGGCCAGAGAGAACGGACTGGGGGAGGCGAATGGCGAGACAAGCCACAGCAGTGCAGAAGGGGACTCTTCCAAGAGCAGAGACTCGGAGCGCGACCCTGTGCCCTGCAGCAAAGAGAAGCCTAGTTCCCAGAACAAACCCACAAAGTCTCCCCCTATTTAAGAGTGCGCTCAGCTTCCCCAGAATCATTGGTTGGAGGAGGGAGGGAGGGAGGGAGGCTCTTCATGATGCTGTTGAATGGATGGAACAGGCGCCGCGTTCCGTTCGTCTTGATCAGTAAGGGAAATTGGGGAAAAAGCACCCAACTGTCACCGTCTCCCTAGCACAGAATGTGTAATGGAAGGGGAGGGAAGAGAGAGAGATTATAGCAGTGTTTCTCAACCTCCGGAACTTTAAGATGTGTGGACTTCAACTCCCAGAATTCCCCAGCCAGCCGTGCTGGCTGGGGAATTCTGGGAGTTGTAGTCCACACCTTAAAGTTCCGGAGGTTGAGAAACACTGGATTGTAGGATGACCACGGCTGACTGAACTGTATCAGGCCCTTCAGGGTAAGGAGCACTTTTCCATTTTTTTTTTTCCCCTTTCCCCAACACAAACAAAGCATTCATCTGCCGCGCAAGACTTTTGCCTATTAGCTCAGCCTCTTTTTCCCCCCCTTTTTAATTAATTAAAAATACGGCCCTTTCTCACCCACAGCCCCAAAATGCCAGGAATCTTCTCCGGACCACACCACCTCTGACTGAGGGTTCTTCCTTTTCAAAACAAAAATCCTCTGGGCCTGAAAAATGACCTTTCGGACATTCTGTGAATATGATTTTGAATCCCACCTTTTTCTAGAGGACACGCTTTCAGTACTAGTCCCTGGCAGATGTTTTGTTTGAATTTTTGAGAAATAAAAGATCACATTTCCCCAGCAGTACCCACGTTTAGCTGTACTGTAGCAGTGCAGGCCTTTCAAAGCTGGTGGGAGGGGTGACACTTCGCTTAATCTTTGTTGCAAGTGACATCAGTTGCATATCTGCTTGAGTATTTGTCCCCTTCCTTACAAACACACACACACACTGGCTTGGAGTGATGATCATACATGGCAATGGATTCTCGGTCACCCTTCTCTGTTGTATCTAGGCTCTTTTCATAAATGTTGGGGGCACATACACATTTAAATACCTGCCCAAGTAACTCTTGATGTCTGTAGTAAGAAAGAATAAGGAAAAAAAATAACGGGAGGCTTGCCCTTCGGTTGTAGGCAGCATCCTTGGGTGATCAGGCTGTTCCTCTTCCAAGGTTAGCACCCCCTTCCTCAGTTTGGGGAGCAGCCTTGATCACTGCCCCCGGCTGTAAATGATCAGAGTTGTTTTCCCAGCCCAGTTGAAGGGTACCGAGGGTGGAGGGAAGGGGAGATTGGCTTGGTTTATCATTCTCGATGTGTTGTCCCAGAAGACTTTCAGTTGCGAAACAAAGATTACAGTACAAAAGAAGCTGGAGGTCTCTCCTGATAATGCCCTCTGCTTGTCAGTTCAGTTAGCTTGCTGTTTCGGCACCGGGAAATGAAAGTAATTGGGGCTGATGAAGTTTGTTCCACGGGGAGGGGGATCACTGTTTGGCCCTCCCCAAGTGCACCTGCTCTTCCAAAGCACATCCTTTCTCTCCCACCCCTTTCCCGTTTTCATCTCGGTTGGCTGCCATTGACTCTCAAGATTGCTTTCCACCCTCTTAACGTTGGCTCATCCCCCCCGCCCCCGTCTGTGGCCTCCCCGCCCAGCCCCGTGTGCTTTTTTCTCATGCTTCGTGTAATATTTACTTTTTTTTTTTAATACGGTTTTTATGTTTCAAGTCGGAACCCTGCTCATTGTTTACTATAAATAATTTAAAAAGAAAAAAAAACCCTATTTATCTTATTGCATTTGAATTGCTCACTTTCTCGTCTGGACGTGTTTTGATAAAACCCTTTGTATTTTTTGATACTGTGTACATTTTAGTCTAGGGAATGTTTTACAAGGTAGCCTAGCTATAGTAACAATAGCAGGGGGCAGGGAGGATATTCCTCCCAAGCCATCACATATCTATTTAATCTGCAGTGGCATCTGTGCCTTGCTATAATGTTTACTTCAAAGTATTTCAAATAAAACCATCTAACAATGAGTGGCTTCCAGCCTCTGTTCTCTGATGTTGCAGCTCTTCCAAATTCACACTGGTCTTTCAGACCCAGCTCAGTCCAAATGCTGGAGATTCATAATGGAGTCCCAAGTAATTTTCCTTGATCTCAGTGCCTGAGGCTGTGGTTCAGCATCTACCCTTTGAGAAGAACAGCACTGGAGGAGGACCTGCTCTGAAGCAGGTGCCTTCTGCAACTGCATTCACACGGCATTCAACCACAAACGAATCAATTATATTTTAGCCAATCGTGTTCTGTGAATCCAAACTCTGCAGTCGTAATGTGAATATTACTTGGTGATCCATCAACTGACTAAATGTGTGTATAGGTATAAATATTTCTGAAGCATGAAGAGAAGATGAGGGAGATAATTTCAGGGACAGGTCACCTTTTAGTAACTAAGGGCCAGGCTTAATATTTAAGTCCAAGGGCTGCAAAGATTGCAGGAAAACCATATTGCACAAGGTCAGGGCTGGATTTTGGGGGAGGATTGGAATTCATTCTTTCGCTTACAGCAATGCTTTAAAAAAACCTTTTAAAAATCACAGTACAACGTTCATCCGTTTCCCACTTCAAAATAGAGCGAAATTGTGCCATCGCTTTTCAGCAGCTCTAGTCATAGGCAACTCAAAAGGGACAGAGGATGGCCAGATGTTACTGCTGACTATTCTTATAAACACCTGCGTGAAAAATAGTTTGCTTCTCTCTTTTGAATTAACTAGGCTGACTGCCATTCCAACTGTAAGCAGTATCAACTGCAGGAGAATTTGCATCGCAGTTCACGCCTTCTAACCTTAAGCCTCGTTTGGGATTGGAAACTAAGCAAGGCCAACAGCTTGGATAGGACAGTATCAGGGCTGTTGTTTAGTCTAGGATAGTGTTTCTCAAGCTTGGTGACTCTTAAGATGTGTGGGCTTCAACTCCCAGAATTCCCCAGCCAGGGGAATTCTGGGAGTTGAAGTCCACACATCTTAGAGTCACCAAGCTTGAGAAACACAGGTCTACGAGGTTGAAAAAAGTACCGAAGGCAATAGCAGACCAGTTTCCGATTCTAATCCTAAAGTCACCAGGACTCTCAGTCTATTGCTCAAAGGAGATTTTTCCCTTTATCTAAGAAATCTGAACTGGATTACTGAAGAATTGGCAGGGGAATTTGCTGCATTGCCACAAGGCACACCAGGTAGTTCTAGAAATGCCTCTCTTTTGCGCTAAATGCACCCCTTCCTCTCCAGGACACCTTTCCCTTATTGCAACTGACGTTTAAGGGGAGAACTGAAGCGCTCCTGTATTTCTAGTCCAGTCCTCCAGTCCCTTACAGCTCCCTTCGCAAAGCTAAAAATGGGTCTGGATAAACCGCCAGAGGGGGTTTTCCATTACAATCTTTATAGGTTTGTATCCTGACTTCCAGCTCTTTGTTTTTCCTTGTAGATGCCTTCCAAATGCTACAGCCATAGGACCATTCAAAAGAAGAGAGAGTTAAGAGGCTTCCTTGGGGTCAGGTAAACATATTCTGTGGAGTCCCTGGAGTTCTTTGAGCTCAGCTGTTCTCTTGCAAACGTTTCGTTACCCAGCTAGGTAACATCTTCAGTGCCAGAAGATG